TGTGTGTGTGTGTGTGTGTGTGGGGTGTGGTGTTGTGTGTGTGTTTGGGGTTGTTTTGTGTGTTGGTGGTGTGGTGTTTTTGTGTGTGTGTGTGGGTTGTGTGTGTGTGGTGTGTGTGGTGGGTGTGTGTTGTGTAGTGGTGTGTGTGGTGTATGTGTGTGTGGTGTTGTGGTGTGGTGTTGTATGTGTGGGTGTGGTGTTGGTTGTGTGTTGTGGTGTATGTGTGTGTGGTGTTGTGTGTGTGTGGGGATGTGTGTGTGGGGATGTGTGTGTGGGTGTGTGTGTGGTGTATGTGGGTGTGTGGTGTATGTGTGTGGTGGGATTGTGGGTTTTGTGGTGTTATGTGTGTGGTGGTGTATGTGTGTGTGGTGTGTGTGTGGTGTGTGTTGTGGGGTGTGTGTGGTGTGTTGTGTGTGGGGTGTGTGTGTGGGGTGTGTGTGTGGTGTGTTGTTGTGTGTGTGGGTTGTGTGTGGGGGTGGTGTGGGTGTGTGTGGGTATGGTGTGTGTGGGTGTATGGGGGTGTGTGGGTGTATGGTGTGTGTGTGGGTGTTTGGTGTGTGTGGTGTTGGGGGTGTGTAGGTGTGTTGTGTATGGTGTGTGTGTATGTGTGTGTGGTGTATGGTGTGTGTGTGTATGGTGTGTGTTTGGTGTGTGTATGGCGTGTGTATGGTGTGTGTGTGTGTGTATGGTGTGTGTGTGTGTGTATGGTTGTGTGTGTATGGTGTGTGTGTGTGTGTGTATGGTGTGTGTGGTGTGTTATGGTGTGTGTGTGTGTGTGGTGTATGGTGTGTGTGTGTGGTGTATGGTGTGTGTGTGTATGGTGGTGTGTGTGTGTGTGTGTGTGTGTGTGTGTGTGTGTGTGTGTGTATGGTGTATGGTGTGTGTGTATGGTGTATGGTGTTGTGTGTGTATGGTGTGTGTGTGTGTGTATGGTGGTGTGGGGTGTGTATGGTGTGTGTGTGTGTGTATGGTGTGTGTGTGTGTATGGTGTGTGTGTTATGGTGTGTGTGTGTGTGTGTGTGTGTGTGTGTGTGTGTGTGTGTGTGTGTGTGTGTGTGTGTGTGTGTGTGTGTGTGTGTGTGTGTGTGTGTGTGTGTGTGTGTACTCACCTAATTGTGATTGCAGTGGTCGAGATTCAGCTCGCAGGTATGTACTCACCTAATTGTGGTTGCAGGGGTCGAGACTCAGCTCCTGGCCCCACGTCTTCACTGAACGCTACTAGGTCCTCTCTCACCGCTCCACGAGCTTTATCATACCTCTTCATAAAGCTATGTATGGTTCCTGCCTCCACTACATCACTGACCAGACTGTTCCACTTCCTGACTACTCTATGGCTGAAGAAATACTTAGTAACATCCCTTTGACTCATTTAAGTCTTCAACTTCCATGTGTGACCCCTTGTTTGTGTCCCCCCTCTGAAACATCCTCTGTCACCCTTGTCTATTCCACGCAGTATTTTCTATGTCATTATCATGTCTCCTCTAACCCTCCTGTCCCCCAGTGTCGTCAGGCCGATTTCCCTTAACCTTTCTTTGTTGGACATTCCCCTGAGCTCTGAAACTAACCTTCTCGCAAACCTTTGCACTTTCTCTAATTTTTTGACGTGCTTGACCCTGTGTGGGTTCCAAACTGGTGCTGCATACTCCAGTATGGGCCTGACGTACACAGTGTACAGTGTCTTGAAAGATTCCTTACTTAGGTATCGGAACGCTATTCTCAGGTTTGCCAGGCGCCCAAATGCTGCAACAGTTATCTGGTTGATGTGTGCTTCCGGAGACCTGCTCGGTGTTATACTCACCCTAAGATCTTTCTCCTTCAGTGAGGTTTGCCGTCTTTGGCCACGTATCCTATATTCTGTCTGCGGTCTTCTTTGCCCTTCCCCGATCTTCATGACTTTGCATTTGGCGGGGTTAAATTCGAGAAGCCAGCTGCTGGACCACGTGTCCAGCCTGTCAAGGTCTCTTTTAAGTCCTGCTTGATCCTCATCTGATTTAATTCTCCTCATTAAGCTCATATCATCTGCGAACAGGGACACTTCTGAGTTTATCCCTTCCATCATGTCATTCGTATACACCAAAAATAGCAGTCCTAGGACCGACCCCTATGGGACCCCGCTCGTCACAGGTGCCCACTGTAATACCTCATAACATACCATGACTCGTTGTTGCCTCCCTGTCAGGTATTCTCTGATCCATTGCAGTACCCTTCCCGTTATACGCACCTGATCCTCTAGTTTCTGCACTATCTCCCGTGAGGAACTGTGTCGAAGGCAATCAACCCACCCCTCTTTCTCGTGTCTTCTGTTACTTTATCATAAATTCCAGAAGGTTTGTGACACAGGATTTGCTTTCCACGAATCCGTGCTGGTTGTCGTTTATACTCATATTCAGTTTCAGGTGCTCCACCACTCTCCTCCTGATAATCATCCCCATGACTTTGCATACTATACACATAAGTGACACTGGTCTATAATTTAATGCCTCTTTTCTCTCTCCTTTTTAAAAATGGGAACTCTATTTGCCATCTTCCATACCTCAGGTAGTTGCCCAGTTTCAAGGGATGTGTTGAAGAGTGTGGTTAGTGGCACACAGTGTTTCTGCTCCCTCTCTAAGGACCCATGGGGAGATGTCTCGTCCCATTGTCTTTGAGGTATCAAGGTCACTTTGCAGCTTCTTCACCACCTCCTCAGTTGTGTGTATGTCATCCAACACTTGTTGGTGTGTTCTTTGGTGTCCCCCTCTGTCCTGTCTTCCCAGATTCCTTCCTGTCTCCACTGTAAATGCTTCCTTAAATCTCGTGTTGAGCTTCTCACATACCTCTTGATCGTTTCTTGGAGTTCTCCACCGTCTTTCCTCAGCCTAGTCACCTGTTCTTTGACTATTATCTTTCTCCTAATGTGGCTATACAGCAGTTTTGGGTAAGACTTGACTTTCGATGCTATGTCGTTTTCGTACTGTCGCTGGGCCTCCCTCCTTATCTGTGTGTACTCGTTTTTGGCTCTTCAACTAATCTCCTTATTTTCCTGGGTCCTTTGCCTTTTGTACCTTTTCCATTCTCTACTACACTTAGTTTTTGCCTCCCTACACCTTCGGGTAAACCAAGGGCTCGCTTAGGTCTTCCCATTATTTCTGTTGCCCTTGGAAACGAACCTTTCCTCTACCTCCTTGCATTTTGTCGTTACATATTCCGTCATTTCGTTTACTGACTTTCTTACCAGTTTTTTGCCCCAATGAACCTCCTGCAGGAAGTTCTTCATACCTGTGTAGTCCCCCCTTTTATAGTTTGGTTTTTCCCATTCAACTCCCGTTACCCTCTCCATTTATAACTCTACTATGTAGTCAAAACTCAGAACCACGTGATCACTAGCTCCAAGGGGCCTCTCATATGTTATGTCCTCAATGTCTGAACTGCTCAGGGTGAACACAAGGTCCAGTCTTGCTGGTTCATCCTCCCCTTCTCTCTCTCTGGTAGTGTCCCTGAAATGTTGATGCATGAGGTTTTCCAGTACCACATCCATCTCGGCTTTCCATGTTTCGGGACCCCCATGAGGCTTCAGGTTTTTCCAATCTATCTCCGTGGTTGAAATCACCCATAACCAGTAACTTTGCTCTGCTCGAGTGAGCTCTTTTTGCCACCTCAGCCAGTGTGCCCACCACTACTCTATTGTTCTCTTCGTATTCCTCTCTTGGCCTCCTGCAGTTCTATGGTAGGTTATACATCACTGCAATGACTACCTTATGTTTCCCATACTGAATTGTACCTATGTAGTCCCTTTCTCCAATCTCGTCCATGCCTTCCATTTCCTCAAAACCCCATAGGTTTTTTTTTATGAACAGTGCAGTGTGTGGTGTGTGTGTGTGTGTGTGTTTGTTTTTGTGTTTGTGTGTGTGTGTGTGTGTGTGTGTGTGTGTTTGTTTGTGTTGTGTGTGTGTGTGTGTGTGTGTGTGTGTGTGTGTGTGTGTGTGTGTGTGTAAATACAAAAGTAACAAAAAAATTTGCTACTTAAGTACAAATATGTACAGTATTTTTCACTAATTTAAATTTGCTTATTTCGAATTTGAAAATTAATTCACCAAACACCTAAGGATCTGTAGTGACAATTAGAAATAAATTTTGAACTTATTTTAAGTACTGTACTGATGACAACAATAGCATGCATGAGCATCAACTGTGCAATGTGCTTGATACTGTCAAAAACAATGCCTGAAAAAAAAAACACTAACCAAAACTCCCGATGTGCTAGATCAATCCTGACTTCAGGTTAGGAATTAGCAAACCAATTTGTGAAAAATACCTCAGTTGTAGATTGTTACTTTTTTGAGGGGGGGAGGGGTTGCCCAATGTAGTCCCTGGACCACTTATGTGCCTCTGTGATCTTTTGACTACCTCCTACAGCATGGGTATGGCAAAGACATTAAACTAACAAGCGTTTGAATCACAAAGTTGAAACAACAATTATGCCCATATTATATGTATAAATTACTGTGTACCAATTAATGCAGGAAAATGTGTACCAGTAGTGCACTTCAGTTTAAAATAACATGCAAGTAGTGTACCAGAATGAAAATTGACAAATATACCAGTATTGTACCACAATGTAAGAGGATAAATATACTGGTGGTGTACCACAATGAATGAGGACAAATGTTGTAGTAACAAACTGTTTAACAAGGAGAGAAAAGTGTCATACAGACCAGTGTACACAGCAGTAAGAATAACCTAACTGGCATGATAGCTGTGCAAGTCTAAATCAAGGTAGTACCCATGAAGATGAACATTAAAAGGAAATTTCACCAATAAGCGCTCTTAATATTATACAACACTAACTAAATAATAATGTATACATTACATAGTCGGTAAATAATAAATTCAAGATAAAGAGAAGTCACCACCTTCATGGGCCACCTTAGAGACAATCCTCAGAAACATCAAAAGGTAGGTATATAGCATAACATTTACTGTTTATTAAAATGAATGACGAAGTGAAGTGGAAATCTTACCAGCATAAACAACAATGCCCTCGATGTAATCTGTGTTCCTGAGAGTGCAGTCCCTGAGTAAGAGGTTGTCTTTAGTGAGAGGCACACGTTCACCAGACTGCAGTGGGATTGACCCAGTGAAATGATAGATCTTTGTGGAAGGAGCACCAATTTCCATCATGTAATCGAATTTTTTCACCTCGAACTTGTCATCCTAAAAATAATTAGATTATGTAAATGAAATTTGACTAAAATTTTTCATCAAATACAGGTACTAAACTATCCCTAAAAATACAAATGCTTTAAAAATATTAGAATGAATATAATTTCTTGCAGAAAGACCCTGTGATAATACTCATAAATTAAAACTGGGCATGTATCGTGCACCTTTAAAATGAAATCAGAATACCCAGTGTAAAAAAAAAAATGTATATAGTACTTCCTTTCTTACTCTTATATCATAAAAATGTTTAATGCATCTGTATATAAATCCAACTGTTAGTATTGCTCCTTACCACTGCAAGGCCTTTAACACTTTGCCTTTGTTTAAGATTGCTCTCCCCGTCCAGGTTGGAAGACTCTATGAAACAGATACCATACTCGTCCGAGGAGTTGAGAACTACCAGGTCAGCTGGGATGATCTCATTGCAGGACAGGTGCATGATATCTCCCACACGTACATCCTTCCACTTTTTCTTAACATATCTACCTCGTCTCTGAAATTAACAAAAAACTTATACAATAGGGACCCCATATCCATGGATCCGGTATCCATGTTTCAGTTATCCGCTGTTTACCACGGCCTGAAAATAACTCTTAATTTTGCTTAATGATCTCAAAGTGTAAAAGTAGTGATGGTGGTAGGTCTTCAAAGCCTAAGAGAATCTGAAGTGCTTCCTATCAGTGAAAACGTGCTAATTCTCGACTGTGTGTAATTTATCAAACTTTATAATAGGTATACGCATAAACGAAAAACAACTTATATGGTTCATTACTATACATGGTTTTGGTATCTGCGGCAGGTCTTTGGAACGTAACCCCTGTAAAATATGTTTGTTATAATACAGTCCTGTAATATAACAAACATATTTTACGCCATTCTTGATCTAGTACAGTATTTAAAGAAACTAGATCTGTTTCAGTCACTATGTGATTCAAAAGTTCTCCTAATATCCTACAAGCCCAGCCCCCTCTCTGAAGGTAATAATACAGAGTGCTTCCCAAGTTTTTAATGCAGTTAAATATAAGCACTAAAGATCTGAAGCCAAGCACAAAAGGCATTCACAAATGACTGCATAGAAACTAACAACCCAATTTCGGCAACAAAGGGAAAACTGGCACCAGCACAGTCCAAAACCCATTTAAACTTTCCACTAAAATAGCAACTTTATAAAGTTTAATAGAGACCATCATTAGAGGCAGTCTCCGGTTGCTACAGACCAATATCTCAAAATATACCAGCACTTTAAACCTGAAGCCAATAGGGTGAGGTACATGTATACAATTTAAAGCACGAAAACCAAGTGCCAATTTGCCAATAAAATTGGCAAACTGGCACCTGCAGTCCAAAATCAATCCAAACCTCCCTCTAGATCAAGGGTATGTAATATTGATTAGTTAGTAAAGAAGCATGTGCAACACCTGGGTATCTTTACTGAGAGATGTTTCGCCCACCATGGACTTTATCAGTGTAATACAAAAACATGGAGTGTGGTGATGAAGCAGTAGTAAATGTGCTTATATGTAGTCGGGGCTCACTAGTGAAAGGTCAGGGCCATAAGGGGCCAAGATTCCACGGTACTGCTGTGATATTGTTTGATCTTGAGATAAATGGTATGTAATACTGATAATTTGTCAAATAAGGCATGTGCAACACTTGGGTATCTTCACTAAGAGAAGTTTCGCCCACCTTAGGTTTCATCAATCTTACACAGATACACAAGAAAACAAAATGTTACTTTTGCCCCTCCTCCTTTGATCCTTTAAATAAAATTTCCGTTTTATGTGGACATGGGTGCAGGTTATAAAAATGCACATCACTGACATGGATTTTAGTTACTCATGGGTGCCTCCACTCTTAGGATTCATCCTGCATGACTGTGTTAATTGAACTTCGTATGTAACTGTGTTGAAGACAAGCAAACATACCACTACTGGTGTTGTGGTGACCTGTTTATCTTGTAAGGTGTATATCTCTACTATGTATAGAGAAGAATTACTTTCGTCAATATTTCAGACATCAAAGCAGTCTTGACGAGGGGTGTACAGAACTACATTTCCAATACACAGGTTTTAAACCTAACCTGCTCGGGAGTCGCAAGGCGCATATGCTGAACTTGACTAGTTTATCAATGGTAGAATACAATGGCATGTGAATAAGACACTGTCGAGTTTACTAAGTGGCAGGTTAGTTAAATAAAACGTGATGTTTTACAGGTTCCACAAGGATTTTAAAACGCAAAAAAAAGATTAGGAGTCGACTGAAATATCCCTCAAGGGAGAGATGCCTTGATGATTACAAAGGGCTCTTAATGTAAGGATTTAACATTACAGTACTCTCTCTCTTTCCCAGATTAAACTTGATTTCTTCCCATTCCCGAGACGCTGTTTGACCATGACGGGTTTAGCACTTCTCCGTGAATTTAATAAAAATAATAAAATTCAAACAGTTGAATAGCTAACACCTAGTGTTTATATTTCATAAATTCTATTATTTTAAAAATAATTTTATATTCACCGAGTAAAGAATTGTTAATGAGTGGAGGAGAATTTATTTACTGTACTATTATTATTATTGTTAATCATTATTTATTATTATAGGTGGGTACCTTACAAATGTTTACAAACTTTGGTACGGTAAACAGACAGGTGTTGGTGAACCACGTATAGTAAAAACTTTTTACTAAACACGTTTCGCCTTTCTCGAGTCACTATCATGTACTTGATAAAGGCTCTTGTATGTGAAAATTTTACTCTAACCGATTTCTGTTAGTATTTAAAACTAAGAGCTGATTTTACAATCAAGTAGTTCTTGCAGTTTAGCCAGAATACTATACTGAGCCAGATTTACACAAATGTTACTTGAGAATGTGACTGTTACGTAATGAAAGTGCTTTAACTTATTTCTCTTTCATTATAGTTAATTTATAAATATGCATTAAACACCGATAAAAACCAAGCTCAACGATGAGCGAAGAAAGTTGAAGATTTTTTTTATGCTAAATGCCTTAAGATTTTGGCAGTAAGTAGATTATACATTACAAATTTTCAACCTCTGGTTATTTTGAGAAAAGAAAAATATTTTTTATATAAAACAGCAAATTCGATTAATAAAGTAACAGACTTGTGAAAATATGATATACAACGTAAGCCAAGAGAAGTACTTCCCAACACAGGAAAATAATAACTTCCAAAATCACGGGACTGGGATGGGAGACGAGCTACATTGGTCAATTAACATGTACAACTTCTTTAATAAGATAATGTTTGACAATATGAGCATCCCCTTTCTAATCTCCCATCCCAGCCTGACAGATTTATTTACCCTGTTAAAAAAAATATGTGGAATATGGCAAGAAAATATCCTGTGGGATATGGTACAAGATAACTCTCTCTTGCTTGTTGGCTACATTTGATAAACATAGCTCAGGGTAGCTTACACAATGTTTTGTAACGTTGTGATAAAAAAAAACAAGTAATTCTAGTTTATAGAGCTTCAAGTTAAAGGACACATTTTCAAGTTGCAGCAGAAGAATTACAAACTGTCAAAACTACATGGTATCCCATGTGTACAAAAACAGCGAATTAATAACTAATAAAGTGACCAGTCCGTGCGCTGCACCATTTTCCGCTACTTTTTTTTTTATACACAGGAAATCCGTCCCCATTCCTGTGCAGGAGAGAACAGGAGTACTAACGCCTCTTACGGCTCAATGCACACAAGATACTCATAAAATACAGTGGTGCTATTTTCTTCGTAGAGACGAATGCATCTAGATGTGGGTTTTAGTCATATGACTACAACACACACTGCGGTCCGGAGTTCGAATCTCCTCCTGTACGGCTGCAAAAAAATTAGGGACGTGTTTCCCTAAGACACCTGCTGTCCCTGTTCACCAATCAGTTTAAAATGGGTACCTGGGTGTTAGTGGACTGGTGTGGGTCGCATCCTGGGACAAAGCTGACCTAATTTGCCCGAAATGCTCAGCATAGCAAAGGGCTTTCTATATAGTAGTATGTCATTGATGTCAGCTAGGACTGTACACCATGTACATGTACTTGTAGTAAATATATATACTTGCATACCCGTGCTGGGCACACACGACAATTAAAAACAACAGATTACAAAAAAAAATACTGTTTACTTTTACATGTAAAATAAGTGTAACATAATATTAAATACAGTCGTCCACGTGAAGGGCTGCCAGACTCACCACTAGATACCACATATACAACCTGCACTGCTGAAAATGTGCATTATACTGATATTTACTATTGTTACAAACACCAAGTTGATATTAACTAGTTACGCACACTGTTGATATTAATTACAATGACGAACACCGTGCTGATACTAATGTTTCAAATAAAGAAATGTGAACTGAACATTTTAACAAGATTCTTACATCTCTCAATAAATGTATCAACACCAGTTAATGATAACAATCTAATAATTCACTATGATTATGCAGTGTTATTCGGTCCGGGAAGATATTTGCAAGTAATTTCAAAGAAGGCGAGAGGTTAAATTACTCAGAGAGGAGAGGTAGTAGTATTGCAGTAGTGTGTCAATATTGACTTCTCTCCTCCCGCCCACCTCACCGCCTGACGTAAGATAAAAGGAAAGATATTGTGCCTGGTCTATACGGGGACATCCCCGGGTCGGCCTGCTGGGAGATGATCCCTCCCTCTTAGTCCTACCCTCCCACTTAATTCTCCCCACACACTCTCCTTCATCCCTGCCACCTGCCCTCTACTTTTCTGTTCGTCCACTCTTATCTACCCAAAACTTCTGTCTTATGCATGTAAGTTTGTTTCCCCGCTCGAGTAATAGTAACTCCAGCTCAGCTTAACGAAACCTTTTAAGCTTTCGTAGCGGATAAACCTCTAATGGAATATCTGACAATATTCCCAATGTCCTACTTAGGTCTCTATAGCTTCACTGTATATGAAGTGTATAATGCGTGATGGAATATGACAAGGAAACATAGCAAGCTTCTGTTCCCACTATTTAGCAGCATCTTACTTCATATATCCCGCTCCCACTCGATGCTCCCCCTTCTTCCTACTTATGTCCCCCTCCCACTCCTTGTTCCCCCTTCTCTCCTACATATGCCCCTCCCCGCCCCCCTCTTTCCCATTTAACCTTTTCTTCAAACCTGTAAAGGCGCCGTACCTAATGAACCAGTATTGGAATGCTTGACAATGTCCTCTTCGAATGCAACGCATCCTGTGTAATGGAATATTAAGTTAAAGCACAGTCTCACACGCCAGACAACACGGTGTAGACGTTCAAATCTCTTGTGCTCCATTACTTTTGACATTTCTATATTAACTTTTAGGTAATCATGATTTCCTGCTTTTGTAGTCTAATTATCTATTACACATTTGCTTCACCCAATTCACACTTAGCCGCGGTTTGAAAAAGAATAGTAATATTAGTACCGGTACCAGCTAAGGAAGTCGCACGTCCCTCACCTACTTATACCGTGACTGGAATAATATACAAATAACCCGCACGTAGGAGAGTGAAGCTTACGACGATGTTTCGGTCCGACTTGGACCATTAACTAGACACACACACAAGCGCTTGTATGTCTAGTTACTGATCCAAGTTAGGACCGAAAGGTTATTATCAGTTTCAGCCAGTCTCCTGTGTGTGTTTTATTTGTGTACGAGTCCTAATGTCCCTTCCTTGCCTCCCTCACCTACTGTGTGAGTGTAGAATGAGCTCAGTCTAACTGGATGGTTATGTTTACTAAAACTTATACACTACACGAGGCTGCATTTCACCTGTTCACC